GGTCACAGTCCCCCAGGGAGGGGGGGAGCGGGCAGCGTCTGTGCCCGGTGCTGAGAGCTGGGGACCTCGGCGTTAGTTACCTTGGCCGTGACCCCTGTGGCCGCGCCCGCCGCTCTCCAGGGTGCTGACTGCCGCCGCCCGGGTGTCCAGTTCCCCAGGACTTGGCCGCCCGAGGTTTCCCCGGGAGACTCAGTGTGTGTCCATCTCTTGGGAGACATCTCACTTTGAGTTGCAGTTAATCGTCTTTTTAAACTTGGGGTAGATTTACTTACCATAAAACCGTCCATTTAAACCACTTACAAGTGTACAGGTCAGTGGCATTTAGTGCGGAGACGAGGGCGGCGCCACCGTCGCCAATGCCAGGTGACCCAGTAGTGTCTCCGTCGCCCCAGGAGGAAGCCGGGGCCCACTCACCAGCGGCTCCCCACGCTCCCCGGCAACCACCCGCCCACTTCCCGTCCCCAGACCAGCCTGTCCTGGGCCCCTGGCCCAAGAGGAGCCACGCAGCCTTTGTCCTCCGGTGTCCGGCCCCTGGGCCGCGTGGTTTCAGGGCCGACCCAAGTCACTGCCGGTGCCAGGGGCTGCTGCGGTCCAGGCCCGCCTCCGACAGCACTGAACTCGGGTGCCGGAGCGTGATCGCTCCCCCGCTGACGGACACGTGGGCCGCCTCCACCGCTGGGCTGCCCGGAACAGACCCACGGTAAACACGGGCGGGCTCCTGCATGTCCCTTCCGACAGGCGCAATGAAGGCGCCGCATCTGCTGGTTTGGGTTCTCCGGCCGATCGGGCAGGTGTACTGCGCCCTGCGCGCAGCGTGGAGGCGTGGCATTGACCTTGAGAGCCTGAGCATCCCCGCTTGTTTCCGAGAAGCACAGTGTTGTGGACACGTCTGAAGACGCGCGTGTTCCTGTGTGTCTGAAAAAGGCCAATCCAGAGCGGCAGCGAGCAGATCCTCGGGGGCGGGGCCGGGGGGGGGGGGGGGCGGGGTTTTGTTTCGGAACTCGGGGGTGGTGTCTGCCCGGTGCCTGCCCCCCGCGGTTGTCCCCTTTCCGGAAAGTCGTGCAAGCGAAGCCGTGGAGCACGCCGTCGCTGCCGCCCGGCCCCGTAAAAGCCTTCCCCGCGAGCTGCCGAGGTGCAGCGTGCGGCGGTGGCGCCTGTCGGCGCTCAGCGCCCTCCCCCTCCGGCGTGGGGTTCCATCGCTGGGGGGCGTGGCCGCTCGCCGCTCGCCGGAGGAGGCTCGGGCTATTTTGAGGAGTGTTTTTTAAACACCGTTGTCGCTGGCAGACATCTAGTCGCTCGCCTGCCGGCTTCCTTCCCAGCCTTTGCTCCGCCTGCGTCCGCGGCCAAGCACGCCCTTCCTGCCGTCTCCTCCTGGCAAGGCGCCGCTCCTCTGTTCTGCTCCCAGCTCCCAGGGCCCCTCTTCCAGGAAGGCCTCCTGACTCTCTAGGAACGGGCTGGAGAAGAGGGAGGGGCGCCCAACAAGGGATCCCTTTGTCCCTCTCCCCCAGGGTGTGCGTTCTGGGTTGTGATCTCTAACCTCTGGGGAGGGGGTGGGGACAGAATCAGATACCTGGGCCAAAGGCTGGGATCCCGGCCAGCTGGCCGGCCATCGTGTTCCTAATCACTGGGATCTGATCAGCTGCCTGGTCCAGGTGCCTCTGCTCTCCTGCGGCCGAAAGAAAGCCAGCCTGCAAATCAAAAGCATTGCCAAGTCCAGTCCCCACTGGAGGTGGGTGGGGCAGCAGCAGGGGAGCGGGAGGGGCCGGTCACTCGGTGCCTGGGGACGGCCCGGCTGACCCTCTGTCCAGAGTCCCGCCGGCTCTGCTCTCAGCACCTGACCGTCGTGAACGCGTTCAGACCTCGCACCGGCCCTAGGAGGCGGATGCTGCCGCCACGCCCATTTCATGGACAAGAAAACTGAGGTGCACAGGGGATCGGCGACCTGTTCGCCATCACCCGGCCCGAAGGCCGCCCGCCGCTCCCCGTGGGTGAGAGCCATGGGAGGGGCCGGGACCCCGGAGCCCGAATTCCCTTTCGTTGGAGAGAGAGACAGACACCCAGACCCCGGGGCTGTATCTGGCGATTTACTGGTTTGACCAGTTCATCCAAAAAGCAGCCCAGCGGGCGAGTAAAACAACAGGATTCCGGGCTTCCAGAGGCTTCTCCGGGCCCGACTCCCTTTGCCAAGAAATGTGTCCGGGAACCGGGAGCTGTTTCCTCAAACCCATGTCACGGCGACACCTCGGCCCGCAGAGGAGCCGCGGGTGCCCTGTGTCCGCCGCAGCCTTCGAAGGCTCCCGCCCGCCCCCGCCACTCATGCCCGCTTCCACGCCCTATTTTCTCATTAAACCTCATTGGGAAAACCCATCGTGTTTTTATTTATTTTATTTACTTATTAAGATTTTGTCTATCCATTTTTCATTTTTTAAAGAATTTTATTTATTTTCAGAGAGGGAAGGGAGGGAGAGAGACAGAGAGAGAGAAACATCAATGTGCAGTTGCTGGGGGCTGTGGCCTGCAACCCAGGCATGTGCCCTGACTGGGAATCGAACCTGCGATGCTTTGGTTTGCAGCCTGCGCTCACTCCACTGAGCCACACCAGCCAGGGTGTATTTTTATTTATTTTTAATCCTCACCCGAGGACATGCTTAGAGAGGAAGGGAGGGAGAGGGAGAGAAATGCTGGTCAGTTGCCTCTCATACGCACCAACCTGCAGCCCAGACGCGTGCCCTGAGCAGGGATCGAACCCGAGACCTTTGGGTTTACGGAGCAAAGCTCCAGGCAGCCGAGCTACGGCTGGCGTGGCTCTCACTCTGTGTTTACGATTGCCACGTGTTTTGATCATGTCTTGGGTCGGTCCCAGGGACGCCCTGGGCAGCAGAGCGCCCGTGGTTCACGGCCCCGGGATGTGCGTGCAGACGCTTGATAAGAGGGTGGATGTGACAGGTGTGTTCTTATTTCCCCCCCACACGCACACGCACACGCACATCCACAGGAAGAAGGAGCCTGGGCTTGCTGCCTCCCCGCCCCGCCTCCCCGCAGAGAGGGCCCCGGGCGGCCAGGACAGGCGGGGGCCCAGGTTACCGGCCTCGCGCAGGTGTTTTCCAAGAGCGAGGGGCCAGGGCAGAGGGCAGGAGGGGTCCCCAGTGCATGCCCGCGTTGTCCTCCTGGTCCTCCTTTGCGTCGGGACGGAGCTGGGGACAGGCCCTCTGCTCCCCACGGCGGCATACAGACCACCTTGCCCCCACCCCCACCCCTGAGCGCTGTGGCCTCGGCCTCACGCCCGAGGGGCAGACCCCGGCCCCACCCCCTCCACCGAAGCAGGACCTGCCCGGGGATGGGGCCGCTCGCTCACTCAGGTCCCCAAGAAAAGTGACAAGGAAACACGCACAAAAACAATGCTGGCAGTGGCCCCTGGGGGGCTTGTGGCCCCGGCAGGGAGGGGACAGTGTGGTGCCGAGCTGGGGACAGGCCCGGTGTGGCGGCGGCCCGCAGCCAGGCTGGCTCCGAGGCTCCGCTCCATCCGGGTGTTGGTCACCACCCTTGCTCCCCCAGCTGCCGCGGCCGGTCGGGACTGGCGTATGTCGACCAGTGGTCATCACTCCGGAAGGCGAGTCTGACATTTTCAAGACGACTCTGAAAGCTCTGTTTTATAGTAACCCCCCACCCCCACCCAAGGTTTTTATTCTTGGCCAGGACTTCAACTTCGCTCCGTTGAAATGCCGTGTAGGCCGGACCAGCCATGGCTGAGACTGCAGAGTCGCTGGCCCACGGTGCAGAGGGGGAAACTGAGGCTCGGGTGACCGACCTGCCCCAAGGGCCCTGGTCTCTGGCTTCTCCCCGGAGTTTGCTGGTGGGGGCCAGGGGGCCAGGGGGCCGGGCCTGAGTGGCCAGCTTCAGCCTCTGCCTCCCCCGGAGCCTCTGCCTGTTGGGGCCGGCCGTGTGGGCACAGCGGGGGCGGCTGTCCTGGCCCTGGAAGGCCACATTCAAGGGAAGTCGGGAGGGGCGGTCCTGGCCTCCCCGGTGCCTGGCTCTGCCGTGTGTGTGGGGGCTGCTCGCTCCTCTTGGCTCGGGCTCGGAGGGGACGCGCGCCTGCTGGGGGGCACTGGTGGGGCTGGGGGGACCCTCCTGGGACACCGGGCACGGGGCTGCAGAGCTGAGGGGGCGAAGCGGAGACCAGAAGCTGGTGGATCCGCCTGCGGAACTTGCCGCGTGGGTTCCAGGCCCGTTTTCTTTGGCCTTTTAGAAAAATCAAGTGTTTGTCACGCTCCATCCATCAGATCATTTTTTCACAGATGTCCGTATGTCTGGCTTTTCAAGGAACCCAGCCCTCATTGCCCGCTCCTGCGGCCCCCCCCCCAACACATAGGCTGTGCTGCAGCCACACAGGTCCCCCCGCTGTCCCCAGACACTCTGGCGCAGCACCTCCCCGCCCGCCTCGGGGCCTTTGCACTGGCTGTTGCTGCCGCGTGGGCCCTGCCCCGCCTCCGGCCGGCCGTCTGGTGCGTGCCTCTCACTCACAGCTCTGTCCACACCCGCGCCGGTTCAGCCCCCACCCTCCCCACCCCGGGGAGTGAGGGCCCGAGGAGCTGGGGCTCGGGGCCTGTCCGGCTCACTCTCCTGCCCCCAGCTCTCCGACGAGTGCCTGGCAGGTGGCGGGCGCTCAGCGCGTGTTTGCGGAGCGAAGGGATGAGTGAATGACACGTCTGGTCGCAGGTGCCGTAGAGCGGCGGCCACCGCCTCTCCATGGGGCGCAGGGCCCCCGTTTGCCGGGGTCCCCTGCTCAGGCTGTTGTGGTTAAAACACGCGAGAAACCAGCACGACTAGATCACCTACTGACTTTAATGGTGTAAACCTGCCTTCCCGACGTGCGGTGGGGTGAGGGCGCCAGGATTGAGGGCCGGCGCTGGGCAGCTGTTCTGGAGCCGAGTGGCGGGCGAGTGGGCGTGGGGCCCCCGGTCGCCCTCCTCACCGGCGTGCCTGTCTCACCCCCCCCCCAGAACGTGCGCATCGACCCCAGCAGCCTGTCCTTCAACATGTGGAAGGACATCCCCGTGCCCTTCTACATGTCCGTCTACTTCTTCGACATCGTCAACCCCAGCGCCATCCTCAAGGGCCAGAAGCCGCAGGTGCGGGAGCGCGGGCCCTACGTGTACAGGTGAGGATGGCGGTGGCCCCGGCCACGGGGGTGGGGGTCTCTGAGAAGGTGCCGTGTGAGCAGAGACCTGATGGAGGCAGCTCGGCCAGGCGGGGAGGGGGGGACATGTTGGGCCCTGGAGTGCTCCCGGGGGTGGCTGGTGAGCCTTGCGGAGGCTTTGGCGCCGTGTCCTGCGGTGGGCAGCTGGCGGTGGGACAGGTGTGGGGCGTGGCCGGGCTTGGCGGTGGCGCCGGGGGCGCTGGAGAGGCACAGAGACACCGAGGGCCCCGGGGAAGCCTGGGGTCACTGCACCTCCCGGCGGGCGCTGACCGCAGCCCTGCTGTCCGCAGGGAGTACCGGCACAAGACCAATATCACCTTCAACGACAACGACACGGTGTCCTTCCTCGAGTTCCGCAACTTCAAGTTCCAGCCCGACAAGTCCAGCGGCCTGGAGAGCGACTACATCGTCATGCCCAACATCCTGGTTCTGGTGAGGCTGCCGTCCTTGGCCCCGCCCCCCATCCTCGGGGCCCCCCACCCCCCCCCCGGGCGGCCCCTCGGCCAGGCAGCTGGCGGCTCATGGGCCACGCTCTCAGCCCCATGAGTGTCCCCGGGCACATCTACCGGTCTCTGGTCCGAGGGTACTGGCCAGAGTCATTGTCCTGCCCTTTTCAACCTGCAGATCCGCAACCTCCAGAAGCAGGTCCCCGTGGGGGGCTGCACGGGGCACCCCCGGCCCACATCACCGTCAGCGGCACTTGGAGGGAGGGTGTGGGCAGGGCCTCCGTTCTGTGCAGGGGACAGTCACAGCAACAGTTGCATGGGCTGACTGCTTGTCCTGTGTGTTGGGACCCCCCGAGACCACCCCAGGGTCACCGACTGACCAGGGGGCTCCCGGGGCTCAGCCTAAGGTCCTGCTCACGGCTGCAGCCCATTACAGAGGGCGGGTACAGTGCCCGGCGAGACCCAGGAAGGGGCGGGCCCAGGGCTGGACCCCCGGCCCAGCACCTAGGCGAGTTGCCCAGGACACGCCTCACTCCCCAGCAGTGAGCTGTGACAATCCGTGGACACACGTGGTAACACAGGTGACGCGTCATCTACCGGGGAAGCCCCCATTGCAGACTCCGCACCCAGGGCCTTCTATTTCGTTCTGTCCCTTGGTGATGTGGAAACCACGGTGCGTCTGTGACCGTGAACGAGTGTTCAGCGTGAAGGAGACCCTGGGGAGGTCCCGGAGAACCAGACGCGGCAGACAGCCCGTGTTTCGGGGGACCGGCTCTGCTCACTCCTCCGCAGGGAGACTGGCTTTGGGGTGGGGTCCCGTTAAGAAGAGACACCGAGCGCCAAGGTGGTGTCTTCAGAGGGAAACAAAAATGAGGAGATCGCCTGTGTTTTAAGTACCTGGACATTGGGGGAGAGAAGACACTGGGGACTCCTATTGCCCGGGAGAGAGCTGATAAGGGAGTGGGGTAGTTTTCATTAAGGAATTTTTTTTACAAGGTGACAGTAAAAGGCACTTTGAACTTGCATACCCAAAAAGGGAATTTGTAGGCTCATGTTAACTGGGCAAAAAGGGCAGGGGTTGACACTTCTGGGCAACAGTGCTGCACCCTGGATCAAGCCACACCTGAAACTGATGTTATGCTCCGGAAGATCAGCTCATCTGGGTGGCTACCGCCTTGTACCTCCCAGGTTCAAAGCCAATAGGGGGCCCTTCCTTCGCCCAAACGTGTCCCTGGGTGGGCTGTTCGCCTGGAGGCCCGGCTTCAGGTCCGGGGGGGCGCACTAGCCATGTCCAGCCCCTGACCCGTGCTGTCCCCTCGCTCTGCAGAGTGCCGCGATGATGCTGGAGCATAAGCACATGAGCCTGAAGCTGTTCATGACCTTGGCGTTCTCGACCCTCGGCCAGCGCGCCTTCATGAACCGCACGGTGGGCGAGATCATGTGGGGCTACGACGACCCCCTCATTAACCTGATCAATAAGTACTTACCAGGCATGCTGCCTGTGAATGGCAAGTTCGGGCTGTTTGCTGAGGTGAGTGTGGCCCAGTGAGGAGTTCAGGGCCTGTGTCCCATCCTCCGCCGGCACCTCCTGGACACCAGTTACCGGCTGGCTTTCGGAGCTGGCTGGGAGCCCTGGGGGCTGCGGGTGTGAATGGCAGAAAACCTAGCTCATCTATACTGGCTTAAGTATACAACTGAACACTCTAAGGATGCATTCAGGTGCGGTTTGACCCAGGCTCATGCGCTGTGGTTGGGCTGGATTCGGACGACGGGCGTCTCTGCTGGAAGAAGGGGGAGTGGGCACGGGGGAGGCAGGTCGGCAATGTTGACTGTCGCCTTGCTCCGAGCTGCCTGATTGTTTCCTAAACTTGACCTCTGGTAACCTGGTAGGGTCAGTGATCGGTTTCCTGAGCCGTGATCTGTCGCGGAGTCGGACTCCTGACCTCTGACCCTGACCTTGGCTCCCTCAGCAACAGGTTTTAGTGAGCCCCTGGGGCTGCTCCAGCTTTGCCCTCCTCTCTGTGCTCTGCTGATGCGTCGTTGGGGGGAGAGGGAGGGAGACGTCGTGACGCCGCCCCTGATGCGTGGCAGGTGCTCCACACGTTTTGACTGGTTCTGGGTGTGTGGGCGCCTTGGCCGGCGTGGGGCGACGTGATTCCGTGAAAGCACCTCGTAAACTTGCAAACAAGTGGGAGTTGTTACGAAGCCACGAGCATGCCTATCATCTCTATTTGACCGTGTGCCGTGGAAACCCCCAAATAACAGCCAGTTCCATGCTGGAGTGGTGGCTTTGTCTCTTCAACGATCCAGGGTCCTACTGCTGTGCTCTGCCATTCTCAGGGCGTGGTTTCCATGCTCAAGATTTTACAACACGGTCCAACAGGGCTGCCAGATCACCAGCTATCTCGTCCACATCCCAGGAAGCATGGGCGGTGGGGGGCAGGTAGGGAAGTTGAGGACCAAACAGCACGTCCCAGCTGTCTCCCTCTTTGGGAGGGAGAAAAATCAATCTCCACTTACTTTTCTAGGGCCAGAACTCAGTCACATGGCCACACCTAGCTGCAAGGGAAGCTAAGAAATGTAGCCTTTTAGAGGGTGAGTCGATGCTAAGTGAGCTTTGGGTTTCGTTATGAAGGAGAAAGGGGAGGATGGACTTCGGGTAGTAACTAGCGGTCTCTGACACCCTTTCTCTGTTATACTTATTAGTTAACCATCTTTTTGCATTAGCATGTGTTAATGTAATAACACTGATAATGAAGGCAAGGGCATTTTGAGCTCTTACTATGTCCCAGGACTGTGCTCAGCAGTTTTTATACATTACAACTGTATTTTTAAAAGATTTTATTTTTAGAGAAAGGAGAAAGGGAGGGAGAGAAATATAGGTCTGGTGCCTCTCGTGTGGCCCCCACTGGGGATCTGGCCCCCAACCCAGGCACGTGCCCAGACTGGGAATCAAACTGACGTCCCTTTGGTTCGAAGCCTGTGCTCGATCCACTGAGCCACACCAACCAGGGCTTAAAACTGTGTTTTGTTTTGTTTTGTTTTTAAGATTTTATTTATTTATTTTTAGAGAGGTGAAGGGAGGGAGAAAGAGAGAGAGAGAAACATCAATGTGTGGTTGCCTCTCATGTGGCCCCCACTGGGGACCTGGCCCACAACCCAGGCCTGTGCCCTGACTGGGAATCAAACCTGCGATGCTTTGGTTCGCAGCCCGCGCTCAATCCACTCAGCTACGCCAGCCAGGGCTAAAACTGTGTTTTTAACAGTCCCAATGCCTCTTTGTAGTGTCTCCTTCAGCCTCCTCTCCTAACGGCTGAAGCAGGAGCTCGGGGAGCTCTGAACGGTCAGCCGACGGGACATACAGGGGTTCGGACGCCAGAGCGGGGCTTGGAACCGGCCCCGCTCTGGGTGGAGCCCGTGTGCCGAACCCGTCGGCCATCGCTGTAGCCCTTCGGCCGCCAGCACACGACCCTGGCTGGGTCCCTGGCACGTGCTGTATACCCCCCGCACTCTGTGGCCTCCTCGGGGGTGAAGCGGTGCTTTGAGGTGTCACCCGGCCGCCACTCCTTTCCCTGCACCCTTCGCGTGTCTCTGCGCTGAGTTAGAAGTCCGATTGTAGAAAACGCCCTCGGAGCTCCGGAGCCGGGGCTCCCTGTCTAGAAAGGTTGCTCCCTGACCAGCCTCGGGTCCCGCGTCTGTCCTCCAGCTCTGCTGCGTAACAAGCAGCCCCGGAGTCTCAGGGGCTTCACGCCGTGAAGATTGACTTCCTGTTTGTATCCGGCCTGGGTGACCCGGGGTCTCCGCCCTCTGCCCGTCCCGGGGCGGCGGGGAGGTTGCAGCTTGACACTTCCACCGTGGAATGCGGCTAAAACACGCGTGCACCGGCCCGTGAAGCTGCGCCCTGGGAGTGACACGCCACTTTGGTTCTCCTCTGTTGCTGGGGGAGGTGATGTGACCGTGCTTTGTTTCCAGTGTGCATCGGGGGGAGGTGACCCTCCCACTCCCCTCGAGGGAGAGCCAGACCCTCCTTGAGCTGGGAAGAGAAGGGAGGCGGACACTTTCCAGGAGGGACGCCGTACTCAGGAGTGTCCCTTTCTGAGAGACGCCCCCGAGTCCCCCTCCTCCTGATCCCCAGGCGCTGGGGATGCAGGGACAGCCTGCAACTACAGGGGGCAGGCGCGAGGGCCCCTCTGCCCCACCCCCCTCTCCTGAGGCTCACAGACGCTGCTCTCTGCCGCGCCCACAGCTCAACAACTCCGATTCCGGGCTCTTCACCGTGTTCACGGGGATCCGCAACTTCAGCCGCATCCACCTCGTGGACAAGTGGAACGGGCTCAGCAAGGTGAGAGCCCGGTGGGGGGTGGCGGGGGGGGGGCGGGGCCGCCTGGACCACCGCCTGCCACACCATCCTCCTAAAACCTGGAGGGCGGCCGCATCTGCGAGGGGGAGCTCCCCTGGGGTTGTGGCTCAGAGCTCTGCGTTCCGGCAGGCGGGTGGGGGCGGCAGAGCAACCCTAGGTATTTAGCACCAAGTGTATACCAGGGACCAAGGTCCTTTCTTATGGGGTTGTTTTCGATGACAGCTGCCATTCAACATCATTTTGTGTTAGTTTCAAGGTGCTTAGCCGACCACACACTTTCCAAAGTGTCTCCCCCGATAGCTCCCATCCCCACCTGGCCCCGTACGTAGTGACGGCACGGTGACCGCCTCTGTTCCCTGTGCCGGACCGTGCGTCCCCGTGACTGTTTTGGGACGGGCAGTTTGAACCTCATCCCTTTCACCCGAGTCTCCCAGCCCCCGGCCCGGCCCCCTGGCCACCAGCTGTCTGTCCTCTGTGCCGCCGAGTCCATCTGGGCCGCTCACCCATTCTGTTCCCTAGATCGCACACACCAGCGAGACCACACGGCGTGTGCGCTCCCCCATCTGGCTCCCCTCTCGCAGCGCGGGACCGTCTAGGCCCACCCCTGTGAGGGCAGATGGTTACGATCTCACTCCGTTTCCCGTGGTTCTTCATTCACAAAAGCGTTTTGAAAAGATTGCACTGATGCTATAGCCCTCCATGGCATCGGAAGAGGTTTTGAGTAAAAAAATGAATAGAATTACATGGGAAACACGAGAAGACATTAAAAATGGAATGCTAGAGGAGGCTATAACGCCCGCTTTCTGCCGCCCCCCCCCCCATGCACAGAGCGAGCCCCCAGTTCCCGGCCGGAGGGTGCTCCTCCTCCTCCCGCTCTGTGTCCATTTTCGTAGAACATGGGCGGGCTTTCTCCCCCACTTTGAACCGGTGAAATCATACTGCGCACGTGCTGCGGCATCTCGCCTTTTACCCCGGGGTGGCTTTCCTCATCATGCACAGATGTGACTGTCACTCCCACCTGCCAAACGTTCACTTGGTCGCCGGGGCGAGACCTGCGGGCCGGGGACAGACGACTCCGCCCCTGCCTGAGCCCCAGCAGTGGGAGGCCCCTCCTAGCCGGTGGCTCTCAGTGAGGGTGATGTTTAAGTCCCCTCTGGCTTGTTTGCCCGGCCTAGAAACACGCATGCACATGGGACCACACGCGTTCCGCCGGCACGGAGGGGCCGGAAGGGAGTCGGCTGGGTTCCTCCTGCAGGCTGCACTGCCCAGGGGGGCCGCCACTGTTTGCGACTCTCCCCGGGGGGCCGCCATTGTGAGTCTAAATACGTCCCCTTAGCGTGCCACCTGCTCAGCTGCTCCGGTTTTAGGGAGTGCCCGGCGGCTTCCTCTCTGAGACGGTGTGTCGGTGTCCCACCTGCCACCTCGCCCGCTCGCTGTGTCCTTGGGGGTGTGGGTGATGGGCCCATTTTACAGACGAGGTAACTGAGGCCCCAGCCAAGTTGCCCCTTCCAGGGTCCCTCCTGCCGCCGTGCCAGGCCGTCTCTCCGAGGGGCCTGGCTTCTATCCAAGGACGGTACCGGGAATTGAGGGGTGCCGCGTACCCCAGGGCACACGGCCGGGGACGTCGCCGCTCCCGTGGCCGGGCTGCCCTCATTGCCGCGTCCGCACGCACCCCCCCCAACCCCGCAGGTCAATTTCTGGCACTCGGACCAGTGCAACATGATCAACGGGACGTCCGGGCAGATGTGGGCGCCGTTCATGACCCCCGAGTCCTCGCTGGAGTTCTACAGCCCCGAGGCCTGCCGGTAAGCGGCGCCCCGGGCGGCCTGGGCGCGGAGGTCCGCTTCGCAGCCTACACTGGTGGCTCTGCCGTCACTTGGGAGGAGCTTCGGCTCCTCCTGTCCTCCCCAGCCCTCGGCGCCCCCACAGTGCTCTCTGGTCCCACGGCGAAGAGCTAGCCTCCCGCCGCTGCCGTCCCCCGAGGGGGTGACGGCCGAACCCCGGGAACTGGCGTCCGGTGTGTGAGGGCTGGAGGGGAGGAGTTCCGGGGCAGCAGGTGCAGAGGCCCGGGGGCAGGAGGGAGCACGCTGGAGGAAGCGCAAGGGGGCGGAGGGGCGAGGAAAAGGACAGGCGGGGGCTGGACCCTGTAGGGGCCTGTGGGCCACCACGAGGACACCGGACCATACACAGATGGGACGCCAGCGGTGGCCGAGTTTGCTGGGGCCCGAGGGGCGGCAGTGCCCGTGGGGGAGAGCGGCCCCATGTGGGTGGCCCTCGGCGGGACCTGGTGACAGCCACTGAGTTCCGAGTGCCAGCCCGCCCCCTGCCCGCCCCCCGCAGGTCCATGAAGCTCGTCTACCAGGAGGCGGGGGTGTTCTCAGGCATCCCCATCTACCGCTTCAAGGCCCCGGACACCCTGTTCGCCAACGGGTCCGTCTACCCGCCCAACGAGGGCTTCTGCCCGTGCCTGCAGTCGGGGATCCAGAACGTCAGCACCTGCAGGTTCAGTGCGTGTCACCCGGCCTCGGCGACGGGGGTGGGGGTGGGGGGAGGACAGGAGGGTGGGACTGGGGACTGGGGACTGGGCACAGGCGCGTCTGCTGCCAGCTTCATCCTGGGCGACCCCGCCGGGCCTCGGACAACGAGGGCCGCGGACAGATAACGTGCGGAAAGATAAGCTGCATGGATCAGTAGTAAACCCTCCCAAACACAGGGGCCTAGACCCAGCGCCACGGCCCCAGACAGCGCTGTGGCTCAGGAGTCTGACATCAGGCCCGGGACCCCGCCCCCGAGGTCACGCCCGTCCCCTTCTCCGGCCCTCTGGGGCGCAAGGGCTGGGGAGGCCACGCCGGGCCCGCATGCACGGGCCCTCTGGGCCACGCCCTCCGCGGGCAGCCCCGCCGAGGGGCAGCCCTGTCGCTCTGGGCTGCGTGTCACCTTGCACAGTCACACGGGCTCCAGGGACAGGACACGGACGCTTTCGGGAAGGGCACTTTCCTGCCTCCCCCCCCCCCCCCGCACCACGGCACGTGGCCAGAGTACACGCGGCGGGGCAAAGGCCCTCCACCCCAGCTGGGCGGGAGGAGAAGCGGGTCCTCCTAGGCCGGGCGCCACCGTCCAGCCGGCACCACATGGTCCTCCGGCCTCCTCGGTGCTTTCCCACGCTGGTCCCCGAGGCGCCGGCCTGTCACTCGCTTTGACACTTGGCCATCCGCCCCGCGCCCCTCTCCTCGCCCGCAGGCAGTTCCAGCAAGCCCCGTGGGCGCTGCTGCCCCCTCCCCCGCCCCCGTGGCTGGGCCGCCGTGGCCTCTGAGCCCTGGCCCCGGCCTGTCCAGTTGGCCTCCCTGTTCTACTGCAGCCTCCTGAGTGCGACCCGCCCTCCGGCCTGTCCAGTGCGGTCACCACTGGCCTCGCGTGGCTGCTTACACGGGAACCGGCTTCAATAGAATAAAACGGCAAGGGCCGTATTTCCCGGGCCGCACTGGCCTCGCCGGGGGGCTCAGAGAGGGAGCATTTCGCCGCCGTGGGGAGCTCTGGGGGACCCCGTTCCTGGGGGCAGCCCGGGGGACCGTCCAGACTCGGGGTTGCCGTCCAAGCCCCTGCTCCCGGGGCCTCCCCGCCCGTACCCGCCCCCACCCCCCACGGACCGCCCCTCAGACCCGCACCACCCCGCCTGAGCCCGTCTGCCGAAGGGACTTCGAAAGCACGACGGAATTTAAAGCCCTTCCCGTGAAGTTTTTCCCTGTCGTGTTCGAACAAACACCTGCACGGACAGGTGCCCGCACCGCACGAGCAGCTTGAAATCCCAGACAGCATCCTGGCCGACACGCAGAGCAGGCGCAGCCCCAGACGCCCCGCGTGCCCTCCCGGCCGCCGGTGCCCTCTCTGTGACAGGAGCCAGAGCCCGTGTCCTCCCTTTCTCTGCGGCCCCCGCCCCTTCGTCCACGGCCACGCGGGTGCGGCCCACCCCCGCCGTCGTGGGTGCTGTGGGCGGCCTCTTCGGTGCCGTGGAGTGAGCGTTCCACCCTGGGGGCACACCTCCGTGTCCTTGCCCCTTTCGCTGTCCCCCGGCATCCGAGTTCCCAGTTTTTTGAACGTGATCGCAGTGCTGCTGGGAATACTCGTGTGTGTGTGTGTGTGCGTGTGACTTCTGGTGCGGCCGGCTCTGCATCTCTGTGGCGCTTTCTCTGGAGGAGCACCCCCAGATTCCCCTCCCGGGTCCTGAGAATGTCTTGGGCCCAGAGAACCCCCGCTCCTCGAACCTTCCTGCTGGGTCAGGGAGGTTCGAGACTTTCGCAACACTGCCTCTTAATCGTGATCGATATGGAGCTGGTTAATTATGCCACAGAGCGATAAATTAATTAGCACTTTTAACCTGGGCGGGGTCCTCCCGGTCTGTTTGGAAATCAGATAAGAAGAAACGCTACTAAAGAGCCATGTGGACTCAATGTCTGGAGCCAGGGCAGGCGATGGCAGGTCCGTCCGGCCCCTCCTGTCTCCCCGACCCCTGGCCGTGGGGGCGTGGCCGCGGGCCCTGGTGGGGGTGCGCCCTCTTCAAGGGCCTGGCTGGGCGAGCGCCTCCCGAACCGAGGACCCCAGAGTGTCGCCACCTGTGGTGACCGGGTCCTCGAGTTGGCTCTGACGGCCTTCTTTCTCGGTGGGGACGGGAAGATGGGAAACGGGGTTTTTCCGCATCTTGGGACATCATCCCTCGGGGCACTGGAGATGACAGCAAAGGCGCGAGGAGCTGGCTTTAAACGACAGTGACCTCCATGGCGAGGGAGGACTTCCATCTTCCGTCCCCTTTCCGCCTTTCCGATGACCTCCAGGAGGGAGCCTCGGTTGGTGCTTGTGGGGGGGGGGCCAGGGGGGCTCAGATACCTCTCCAACCCTCGCCTGTCTCTTCAACAGAGAGACAGCAGGTCCAAGGTCAGAGCCTCCTGCAGGTCACAGTGTCTGGTTAGCACGTCCAGTGTCTATGGGCCTCCGTCGTCCTCATGCCCATGTTGACTCTCCAACTATGGCGGGGGGGGGGTGCTGGCCCGTTACGGCTCTGGTGTGAAGCCCCCCCCCCCTTAAAATGCAGCTGTTTAAGTCAGGCCCTGGCTGTTGCTTCAAAGAAGCTAATTACATAAGTGTGTGTGCGCGTGTGTGTGTGTGGGGGGGGTTATCTGGAGTTTATGGCCACGTGGAAGGGTCATTAACGCCGAGAAACGCTCAGGCGACAGAAGTGGCAGGATCTGGGAAAAGCGAAGTCAGCTACCGCTACGTTCCCGGCTTTTGCTTCCCGCCGGCGCTCGGCTCTGCCAAGGAAAGCAGAGGGGAGTCCAGGCCTGTGAGGCCGCCAAACTGGACGCCGGCCCGGCAGCCTCCGAGCGAGCTGGGTGCTCGGGATTGAGGCCTCGGGGGCGTTTGTTTCTCTAGTGCATTCTTTTTTCTCATTGAGGTGACGTTCACGTCACCTCAAATTAACCACGGGGAAGTGTACGGTTCCGTGGCATTTAGTGCAGCCACCGCCTCTGTCTGGTTCCAGAACGTTCTCAACGCCCCAAAATGAGAACCCGTCCCGGGGAGCAGCCACCGCCCTCTCCCGGCCGCGGCCCTGGCCGCCCCCCATTCTGCGCCCCGTCTACCGCGTGTGGGTTCCGGCCCCGGGGGTCCGAGAGGCCCCTCCCCCTCCTCGCCGACTGGCTGTGGCTCGGCCGGCTGTCCGTGTCCGGAGCTCCTGACTGAGGATGCGCCACTGTCTGCCCCCTCGGTGGGTTGGTGGAGAGGCCCTGCCTCAGGTTTCTGGGTGCGGATTTCTCGCTCAGGGGCCCGCGTCCGTCCCCGGCCCCCCACGCTGGCGTCCGTCCCTCAGACCGGCTGGCAGGCGAGAGCGCGGCAGGTGCGTCTTCTCCCCTCCCGGGCACGGCAGGGGGGCCCAGCTGCAGGCGTGCACGCCGGAGCCTGTCGGGCGGCTGCTGCGGGGCCTGCGGACGCCGGCCTGGGCTGCTTGGCTTGAGGGTCAAGCTCTCCTTCTCCCGCCCGAGCTCCAGTCCGGCCTTGACCCGCCTGTGTGTCCTCCACTCCCCAGACTGCCCTCCTCACGCCGTCCCCTCCGCAGGCACCCCCCACCCCCTGCGTTCGCTTCTGCCGCCCCCTCCTCCTGGAATGCCACGCGCCCTGACCTTGGCCTGGACCCAGAGGCTGTCTCCTCTCCCTTCCCCCGTCCTTCCCCTGCCAGAGCCAGCGGCTCCCGCCTGGCCATCCCCGCGGCACAGAGCTTGTCCCCTGCTGGGTGGGTTCCCATGCCCGGTGCCTGTTGGGTGCTTTTCAGACCGAACGAAGGGACAGACCCTCCCTGTCGCTTGCGTCTCGCCGTCGCCCGGGGGTGCTCTGCAGGCGGTGGCTCTGTCTCACCGTCCGTCCGTCCGTCCGCCCGCCCGCCCTCGTGTGTGGCTCCGGGCCCGGCCTGAAGCCTCCGGACGGGCCAGTGCGCCCCACTGGCCTGACCCCGTCCCCGTCTCTGCCCTCTGCCTTGCAGATGCGCCCTTGTTCCTCTCCCACCCGCACTTCTACAACGCCGACCCGGTCCTGGCCGACGCGGTGACCGGCCTGCACCCCGACGAGAGAGAGCACTCCTTGTTCCTGGACGTCCACCCGGTGAGCCTGCCCGTCAGCCCGGGGGGGCGGCGGGGCGTTCCGGCCGGCGCACACGGCTGCCCCTGCTCCCCCCTCCCACCGCCCATCATGGGGGGAGAGTGGCGGGAGGCCTGGCTCTCTTGGGCTTTGAGAGCTTCTAGAACCTCAGACCACCACGGGTCCCTCCTTTGCTCTGATTCCATAGTTCAAGGGTTTATTGTCTCCTTATTAGGGACTCGCGTCCATAAAAGGACCATGAGACAGTAAATTAATTAGGCGTTATCAGCTCACCAATTACCTAGGGCGGCCTTCTGGTTACGCCAGCCTACCATAAAGATCATGCGGCACCAAGAAGATTCTGGAATGCCTTGCAGATAAAGGGGGAGGGGTGGGGACAGGAGGGGACAGGCCTGCGCCGTGGCCCTCCCGTGGCTGTGTCCCGAGCCACTGCCTCGCCTCTCAGCGTCTCTGCCCCCGGTGGAATGTGCCCGTCTGGACCTGGAGGCGTCTGCTGTAAAAATTCGGGGGGTCTCTGTCTCCCAAGTGGACTTGCGGTCACCCCCACAGGCCTTCTCTGAAGCTCTCCTGCCCGGTGCTGTTCCGCACCATTTTCCTGGGGCGTCTCGGCCCCTGACTCGGCCCGCTGGCCCCTGGCAGTCCTCTCCCCGTCTCTCTCTGTCTCTCTCGCCAAAGCCCAGGCTCGTGAAGTCAGCTGTGGCTGCAGACACTGCTCACTGGGCACACAGTGTGTGTTGCAGCCCGCTGTGACCCCGGGGCTGGCTGGATGCTCCCACGTGCATCAACTCGCTCTGGGAGGCGCGTGAGGCGCGCACAGCCACCCCCAAGTCCCGGGGGGCGGGGCGGGGACTGCCCTCCGGGTAGGCCGAGCGGTAGGACCAGTGGGTGGGTCCTGGGCTCGGGAGGGGGCTCCTGTGCGTCGGGAGAGCTCTCGCAGTCAGCATGGGGGCAGCCCTGGGGCCTCGGGGAGCGTGGTTTTGGTGCCGATGGGGGCCGGCGAGGGGCAGAGCCGATTCGAACACGGCTCTTCCAACGCCCCACCACGGCGTCCTGCGTTCTTCTGGCCTCGTGTGGCCTCGGTCACTGTTAGTTCCTGGGGGTGACATTGGCGGTTAGTGCGGCATCATCGACTAGGTCCCCTAGGCCGGACTCTATGTCCCCCGGGACTGTTCTGTAGCTGCCATTCGGACTCCTCCACCCCTCCCCCTTCCGCCCAGCCCCCGCCCCCAGTTGGGACCGGCTCCGAGGAGCCGACAGGGGCTGCCCGCCTTCTCTCTCTTCGGCTCGTTACCGCGCAGCCGGTCTGCGCTGCCCCTGGGGAGCTCCAGCGAGAGCCGGATCTCTCGTCCTTCCTCACCAGGGACTTTCACTTCAGTGTGTGGCTTCTCCGCGCACCCCTCCCACGCTGGGAAACCGGCAGTGAGGGCGGCCTGAGAGGCTCACAGCTGCCGGCAGCCGCCGCCCGGCTGTCCTCTCCTCTCCCTGCAGGTCAGAGGGGCAGGCGTGGGGAGGAAGTGTCCTTTCCCCTTCTGTTGTCGGGGACTCTTTGGGAGGGTATTGTGGGGTCAGTGTACTGCCTGTTAGGCATTAGCACTCCCACAAGGAAGGTTCTGCTGAGCTTCTGGAAGCTTCTCCTGAGTCTGGGTCGGGAATGGGGGCGGGCGGCACCCGGCTGCCGGTCCAAGTTCCTCTCCCCTGCGGTGCGGGAGCTGCAGGGCCCCGCCGAGGACAGGAGGGAGGGCCTGAGCGGACACCCAGGACGCAGAGTCTGTGGTAGAGAGTGGGCACAGGAGGGTGGCCCCCGAGGCCACCCCCATTCAGCGACGGGCTGGGAGGGCTCCCAGGACTGGGCGAGCCGCCAGAGTCAGGGCCGCACTCGGGTCCGGCAGGAAGACACGGAGCCCAGTCACCGAGGCCCCCTCTGCCCGCAGGTCCCCAAACTCCAGCTCCCCCAAAGGACAGCAGGTGCCAGCCTAAACGCTCTCCCACAGGCAGGCCCCCTTATCCACGGGGACAGGGGACGGCAGCCCTCCCAAAACCCAGGCCCAGGACGCCGGTCCTGGACCGGCGTGCCAGCGCCCCCTGCAGGGAGAGCAGCCCGGCCTGCTGAGCTGACTCCTCCGCACAGGGTGGTCCCCCTCCTGTCCCACCAGGTTCTTAAGGTCAAACGCTCCTGGGTCAGGGCAGCCCGACCTTTGACCTGCTCCTCTGCGCCACCCGGGCCCCTGGCGGTGGTCAGAACACCGGGCTTGCCCCCCCAACCCCCCGGGACAGGTGACAATAACACAGACATTCAAGGCCCCGGGGTGGCTCTTGCAGACCCCCCGGGCGGTGGGCAGGGCGTCTCCCCCCAGCAGTCTGAGCTGAGAAGCCCAGTCACGACCCCTGACCCAAGCCCCGCGTCCTTCCCACCGCACTTTCCCGGCGCCGTTCCCGGAGCCTCCCCTGACTGGGGCCCTGCGTGCGTGCGTGCCACGGACGCGTTGTCACCGCTTACTTGTTGTTTTTAAAACACGTCTTCCCATTGAAGCAAAATGGGTTCTGCACAAAGGCGGCGCCCTATCGCCGCCGCGATCAGGAATTTAAAAACTTCCCCAAACAAGGAGGCGCCCCGCACAGATAAACACGAGGGAGCCGAGCGCCCGGGCCGCGGCGGACGGGGGGGCGTGGGGTCCAGAGGGGCCGGGCTGCCTGCGCCCGCGGGTCTCCTCTGTTCCGCAGGGAGGGCGGGGGGTGGGCGGTGGGCGGGGTGCGGGGGAGGATGTCTTTCCGAGTTCGGGGAAGGAGCGCCCTGGAGGGCAGGCGGAGGGATTCGGGGTTTTCCGTCCCGGCAGAGGCTTGCTCCCTGGAGGGCCCCTGGAGGCCGCTGGGAAGCATGCGTTTACCTTTCAGGGTTCAGAGTGAGGGGAGGGCCCCCGCCTCCCCGAGAGCGGAGGCGCTGGAGCTGGGACGCGCCCCCCCCACCCAGGGGGGCGGGACCAGGGAGGCCGGCCCTCACCGTGTGTGTCGCCGCAGGTCACGGGGATCCCCATGAACTGCTCCGTGAAGCTGCAGCTCAGCCTCTACATCAAGGCCGTCAAAGGCATCGGGTGAGTGGGGCCGGGGCGGGGGCCGGCCCTCCCGGCTGCGGTGGGGGTCTCAGCGCCACCTGCGTCCTGGCAGCGCTGCCCCCCAAACCCCCTGTTCTCTCGCCGTGGGTCCCCCGGGTCAGGCAGAACGGCCCCTCCGGGCTGCTTGCCACTCAACGGGGTGGCAACGACTAAACCCCGGCCAAACAAGCGTTTGACAGTGGAAACTCACCAGACAGCCGTCTTCACTGAGACGATTCACGTGATGGGAGGTCTTTTTTAAGCACTGATTTAAAAAAAATTTGGGGGGGGGGATAGTACCTTTATCAAGCTTTAATTCATGTATTATAAAGCCCACCCTTTAAGAGTGTACAATTCAGTAACTATAGTATATTCACAGAACTGTACAGCCATCGCCACAATTTTATTTTATTTATTTTTTAAAAGGTGTTATTTATTTACCTTTAGAAAGAGAAGAAGGGGGCGGAGAAAGAGAGGGAGAGAAACATCAATGTGTGGTTGCCTCTCACACCCCCCTACTGGGGACCTGGCCTGCAACCCAGGCATGTGCCCTGACTGGGAATCGAACTGGCGACCTTGTGGTTCTCAGGCCGGAGCTCAGTCCCCTGAGCCACACCAGCCAGGGCCCATCATGATCTTAGAACACTTTCATCAACCTCCCCCACCCCACAAACCCCCCCCCCACACACACACATTAGCAGCCACTGTCCATTTCCTGCAGCCCCAGACGACCACCCATCTGCTTCCTGTCTCTATAGAATAGTCTCTTCTCACATTTCCTGCAAATGGAATCCGACAACACGTGGCCTTTTGTGTCTGGTGCCTGTCACCCAGCGTCCCGTTCCCAAAGGCCATCCACGTCGCAGCTGGCACCAGGGCCCTGTGTCTCCTGGCTGAGTTACACTCTGTGGTCCGGGCAGACCACATTTTTTTAAAGATCTATTTATTTTTAGAGAGGGAAGGGAGGGAGAGAGAGAGAGAGAGAGAGAGACAAACATCAATGTGCGGTTGCTGGGGGCCGTGGCCTGCAACCCAGGCGTGTGCCCTGACTGGGAATCGAACCTGTGACACTTTGGTTCGCAGCCCGCGCTCAATCCACTGAGCTACGCCAGCCAGGGAGGCCCGGACGTTGGGGCTGTGTCTGGTTTCTGGCCACTGTGAAGCATGCTGCTCCGACCGACTGTTCACAGATCGGTTTCCCTGCGGCACGTGTCCCCATTTCCCCGGGTCGGTCCCTCGGGAGCAGAACTGCCGCATCAGACGGCCACCCCGAGTTTAACGGCCAAGGACCTGCCAGCCAGGCTCTCTCCCGCGCGGCCCCTCGGTCACGGAGGAGGTCCCAGCCCCATGTCCTGGCCGCCGTGGGTTAGAGAGAACACTGTGTTTGGACTGAGCCGAATGTGGGAGCACACACGGGGTCATCGCCGTGTCAGCGTCTGTCCTAGTCAGCGTATTTGGAACAGTCTCGCTGAAAAGATATCCTCTGGAGAGATTCCTGGGCTGCAGCAATGCGGGCTTCCGGGCCGCCGTGGGGGCGGGTGGGGGGGGCAGAGCATGGGGCCCAAGAGCAGCGGAGGCGGGGATGGCAGGGACCCACCTCCTCCCCGCTGCCTGGCCCTTCCCGCGCCTCCAGAGGCTGCTCAGAGGGTTGGTGCTGGCGGGGTGTGTGGGCTGTGGAGGGAACCACCGGCCCGTCGCCCTGTCTGGTAGCTCAGTGTGCCCGGGCGGCCAGGTGACAGAGCAGAGGGCGGCCCAGGTGGGGACGGGACCGAGGACCAGCCCTGCCCAGCACCAGGGCAAGGGGCCCAGTGGCGTCCCATCCTGTGCAGTTTCAACTGCATTTTCCAAAATTGGGATTTTTCAGCATGAGTGCTTTCCGTTTTCACGCGTCAGGAGTGGATTCGAATTCTTGACAAATGCTGCTCAGGACAGCAGGACCCCTGGGCAGCTGGATTCTGCCTGTTGGGGGCCTCTGGCTGCTCCAAGGACCTTCCTGGGCTTCTGTGTCCTGGACTGTCCCTGCAGCCGGCCAGAGCCCTGGTTTCAAGGGAGCCGGCCTCCACTGCAGTGCTTGTCGCCACCTGGAGGGCAGATGAGGAACAGGCGCGGGGAAGGTCTGGGGACCCAGCCGCCCAGAAGCAGGGCTGTCCCAGGTTGCCAGGAACTTCTGTGCTGTTGGCTCCCAGGAGCTCTGCCTGGCAATAAGACGCCACTTGCATTGAACTCCCAGCAGCTTTACAAATGCGGATAAAAGAGGCCAAAGTCTGTTTCCAGAGCTCTCCCTGTGGCTGACACCAGCCCCGTGAGTTCACGGCACAGCACGAACTTCTCCTTAGCGGGTGGCCGGAGAGTGGTGGCGAGGATTTGGCTCTCCGCGCTGTGTCTGGCCCCCAGCCCCCGGCCCCCGGGCGAGTGCCACCCCTCTCTGGGCAGGGGTGCCCGCCAGCAGGTCCGGAGCGAGGAAGCTTGGAACAGCCGTGCCCACTGCGGCATTTCCTGACGACGGCCGTGACGAACTCGGGGCGCTGTTCACGTGCTGGGCATTTCTCTCAGCACGTTGTTCATGTTGTTCAGGCCTCGCTCGAGCCCTGTGAGGAGGAGGCACAGAGAGGGCAGGCAGCCGCCCGAGGTCACACAGCGAGCTAGCGAGGGGCTCCGTCTGGTCCCTGAAACCGAGCTCAGGCTCGAGGACTGGCTGGGAAGGTCACAGGGCCCAGCACGGGGTCGTGCTCCCTGCTGTGATTCATTCCAGTGAACAGATCCAAAGCAAAATCGGCACAGGAGGAGACCCCTGGGGTGGGGAGGCTGGGAGAACCAGGCCCGGACTCCCCCGGGGAGCCACGCGGGCCCCACCACACCCGCAGCAGCGCGTTGAGACAACGCGTGTGAAGTGCTGTCCCCAGGGAAGCCCACGAGAGACTCAGCACCAGGGTGTTTATCGGGGGCTCGTCACCTAGGCCCCCTCTGCCCGGCAGGCCCCCCTGAACCCCAGCGCCCCAAGGACAGCAGGTGTCAGCTTAACCCACGCTGTTCATCAGCTGGGTGCGCGGCTGTTCCGCCTCCGACAGGAACGAGGGGCTGTCAGCCAGGCCGCATGCAGCCCTCCCCCCCGCATGCAGCCCTCCCCCAGGTGAGGGGGGAGTCTTCACCTGGAAAAGGTCTCGTCTGGTTGTCTTCTTGTTCCCCGCCAGGAAATACCCGTCCCTCCAGCCTGGGCCGATGGCGCCCTTGCTGTCAGAGCCCGCCTGCCCCTGGAGCCTGGGACCGTGTGGCCAAGCCCGCCTGCGGGAGAAGTCCCTGGCCAGACCTCTCACGGGCTTTGTCTCCCTTTTTTCCAGGCAAACCGGGAGGATTGCGCCAGTGGTCTTGCCACTGATGTGGTTTGAGGAGGTAAGGCCACCTCGCTGTCCCTGCACTGAGCTCCCCTGGGCGTGGCCTGCGGTACCTCCGCCGGGAGCCTGCTGCGGCCTCTGAGGCTGGGCCCTCCCTGGAGGCGGGGGCTGGGCCGGGGAGCCGGACCGTGCGACCTGGAACAATCCAGGGGGAGCTTTCCACTCTGCAACCACGTTGTCACCCACTCCCCTCCCTCCCTTAGCGGGAAGGACCGGATTCAGTGGGTCCTGGATCTGGGACGGCGCCACCCTGGGGGGTAGTTTTTTTATGGTAGCGTGACCACTTCTCCCAAGACTAGGGAAGTCGATTTTCTGGGTGTCAGCTTTTCCCGTGAAATTTCTCTCTGTTCCTGGCTTTGCAGGGTTACTTCCGCATTTTAAAGGGAGGGGGGGTGCGTGGGGTGGGGCGCGGAGCAGGCAGCCTCGGAAAGTCAAATGCTCCGCGCAGTCTGGTCTGGGCTGGTGGGAGGCTGGGCTCTGCTTCAGGCAGCCACTCGGGGTCGCCCCGCTCCTTCCACCCTGGGCGCCTGCCCCACTGGAGACCCTCAGAACCACTCCCGTTCAGTGGGTGGGGGAAGCAGTGGAGAGAATCTCACCGGCAGGTTTTTACCAGCCAGGTGTGGAGGTTGTGGTATCACTGTGCCTGCGTCCCATTGGCCAGAACGCGATCACATGACCCTGCCAGCCGCGAGGGAGTCTGGGAAATGTAGTCTCTTGGTGTGGCCCTGGAGGAAATGGATACCGCCTGCAGGCTTGTGGGTGGGGAAGGGTGCGGGGGCCACTGTGTGTGGCCCCAGCCCAGGTGCCTGTCGTTCTCCCCCCCAGAGAGGAGCCATGGAGGGCGACACGCTCCGGGCGTTCTACACCCAGCTGGTGCTGATGCCCAAGGTGCTGCACTACGCCCAGTACGTCCTTCTCGCCCTGGGGGGCGTCCTGCTGCTGGTGCCTGTCATCTACCAGATCCGGAGCCAAGTAAGTGGTGGCCGCAGCGTGGCCCAGGCCGGGCGGCCCACTGCTTGCCTGCTGGGGGAGAGAGGGGCTTGGGTGGGATGGCCCGGTCCCGGCAGACGCCCGCAGCCTGGAGCCCGCCTCGGGCAGCGTCCGGGTCTCTGCCGGACCTGGGGAGCTGTCGCTGGGTCCTCGCTCCTCCTGCGTCCTGCATGGCTACATCTCTGCCTGTCCTGGGAGGCCCGGGGACCCTCCCCCAGAGGAGCTGCTGGTGGGCTTCGGTGATGAGACCTGGTGCTCGAGTGGCTTGTTCATGGAGTTAGCACCTGCGGGTGCCGGGCTCTGTCACGGGCAGGGCACCCAGCGGCAGGGGGCGGGGCTTGCGTTCTAGGCGGGGAGACGAAGACCAGGTAAACACACAAAAAACAGCGTCACTGACGATAGAAAACGTGAGGGGCTGTCCAGTGGGAACAAGCCTGATCCAGTGCGTGACTGTAAATTTAAGTTTTCTTTTTTTTAAGATTTTATTTATTTATTTTTAGAGAGGAAAGGGAGGGAGAAAGAGAGAGAGAAACATCAATCTGTGGTTGCTGGGGGCCGTGGCCTGCAACCCAGGCATGTGCCCTGACTGGGAATCGAACCTGCGATGCTTTGGTTTGCAGCCCACGTTCAATCCACTGAGCTACGGCAGCCAGGGCTGAATTTAAGTTTTCTTAACAGCCACGTTAAGTAAAAAAATCCATTTTAATTATGTTTTATTCCACCTGAACATACCCCAAATATGACCATTCTAAAGTGCAATCACTATAAAAATAGAATGACTGATTTTTGTAACTTTTTTTCCGTGTCAAGTCTTTGAAATCGGTCTTTGACCGAGTAAATCATTTTACTCCTGCCGTGGGTCCCGATTTGGGCTTGCTGCATTTCGAAGGCCCCCGATGGCCGTCTGGGGCTCCCAGACGGCCAGCACAGTGTCCGGGGGGCTGGGGACAACCGTGGAGAGAGTGTGGGCAAAGCCAGAATCTGAGCTTAAACGCAGAGGCCGAGGAGGCCCTCGGCATACGGTCACGGAACACATTCCCGACAGGAAGGAAGGGCCAGGGCCAGCGCCCCGAGGCAGGGACGGTGGGGTGTTCAGAAGTGACCCCGCAGGGCCAGGGTGGCTGGACGGGAGTGGGAGGCGTCCGAGGCGGGGGAGGGGCCGGGGCAGGTCACACAGGGCGAGCAGCTTGGAACCGATTCCTGGGGGACAGGAAGCTACTGGAGGCCTGGTCAGCTGCTGTGTGAGGGGCAGAAGCAGGGGCCAGCGAGGAGCCCCAGGTGAGCGAGGGGGGCGGCTGGGAGCAGTGGGCACAGCTTGTTTTTCGAAGGGAGCGTAGCTGGAGAAGAGGGCAGCCGCCCGCTAGGGGCGGGAAGAAGAAAGGCAATGACAGTAGGCGGTCTTGACTTGATGCCGGGCATCCTCCCCTTCGTGACGGTTTCAAATGTTATTTTCGGAGACAGGGGAAGGGAGGGAGAAAGAGAGGAAGAAAAACATCAGTGGGAGAGAGAAACACTGATCGGTTGTCTATCGGACACGTCCCAACCGGGGACCGAACCTGCAACCCAGGCCTGTGCCCCGACTGGGAATCGAGCCCGAGATCCTCCCCTTTGCGGGGGGCACCGACCCACGGAGCCACACCGGCTGGGGCTGAGCGGCTGCCCTGGCCCCCAGGCACCGTGCACGGGCTGGGGGTTCAGCAGTGCCCAGAACGTGAACCTGGAGCCCCACGGTCACGGGCAAGGCCGACGGGAAGCAGTTCCCGCAGTCACACGGTAACAGGCCCGTGACCGCGGGGCTCCGGGGACATGGCAGCGGCAGGTGCGGGGGGAGCTGCAGGGACACTGCTCAGTCACAGGGAGTCCCGAGCAGCCATTAGGGACCCACGCACCAGAAGCCACCCCGGTGGCCCCCACCTTGTCCTGGGGCCCCAGGCCGAGGCCTTGGGGGTGGGATGCTGCCCACTCAGCCCCGGCTCCCTGCTGCCCCACACCCCCGCCCTCTGCCACGCCTGCTTTCTGCCTCGGCTTTGCAACAGCCCTTTCTTCCTCCGTCTCTGGGGGCCCCTCGCTCGCTTGCTCACTCACTGGGAGGAGCCTTCCCATCCCAGGCGTTGCACCTGAGTCCTCAGGCCCTTCGCCGACCGGTGGCCTTCAAACTCCCCTCCCCCGGGGGACAGGCTGCCGGACCTCGCCATGTCCTCGTGGCCTCTGGTGTCCCAGCCCCGATGAACGATGGGTGTAATGAGACTTCGGGGGTGGGGTGGGGGCGGGGCGGTTTGTGCTCTGTCACGCCCCGGTGACAGCCAGGCTTAGCAGAGCAGAAGGGAATTCCCTGCAGTTTCTCGACTTAAATCACGCTGAGAGGGTGGGAGGGACCAGAGGCGGCTGCCTCCTGGGTGGGTTTCCACTGGTGAAGACGCACACGGCCAGCACAGGGCCACCCACAAGGGCTGCCGGCTGGTGAGCGGCTGGGTGCAGGGAGGAGGCCAAGGCAGCCTCCGCCTGCGGTCCCCTCAGTCCCTCTGTCTCTCCCCTAATCGCCCATCATAAGGGGGCCAGGAGGAGAGCGAGGACACCGCGTGAAATGCTGGCTTGGGCCCCTTCCCGGCCTCACCCCCCAGCCCACGCAGAAACTGTTGTTCTTACTTATTTTCCCAATGACTAGCCAGCTGAGGCTCCGCCCCGCCCATTGCAGGTTTCACTGGCGGCCCCTTAATTGAAATGTATCCCATTTTGTAAGTTTCCGCTTCGGTGGGGTGAGGCCTTAAACTCCAGGCACTGTTTGTCCTGATTGGAAAAAAAAGAAAGTCTCATGCTGGAGAACTCACGTATTTTAATTTCCCTTCCGAGAAGTGTTGCTTCTCAGGTCCTGCTTTGCAAAGAATCAATAGGTTTTTGTCGTTTTTTTTTTTTTTTAATGAACTGGTCTTTTTTTTTTCTTTTCTTTTTTTTCAGATTTTATTTATTTATTTTTAGAGAGGGAAGGGAGGGTGATAGAGAGAGAGAGAGAAACATCAATGTGCGGTTGCTGGGGGTCACGGCCTGCAACCTAGGCATGTACCCTGGCTGGGAATCGAACCTGTGACACTTTGATTTGCAGCCCGTGCTCAATCCACTGAGCTACGCCAGCCAGGGCAGTTTTTTGTTTTTTGTGTTTTTTTAACAGAAAAATCTGTTTCTGGTTGATTTAAAATGAGCCCCCACTGGACCCTCTGATTCCTGGCCAATCCGCCCACCTCCATGCCTAAATTTTCCAGTGGGCGAACTTCTTTCAGCCCGGCCTGCCCATCCGGCCAGGCGCGTGTCCTGAAGACGCCGGCGTTTCTGTCTCTGGTGACGGGCAGCTTCAGCCCCCCCTTCGCAGCCCGCTCCCGCGGTGGTTAGTGGTGGCGGGCTCTAGGATCCCGCGCCCTCCCCGGTGCTCTGGGAAATCCGAGAACTGCGTCCGACATTTTCCGTGTGGCTGCAACGTCAACTACAAATTAGCTTGGTTGTCTTCTAGGAGAGATGCTATTTATTTTGGAGTAGTGATAAAAAGGGCCCCAAGGATAAGGAGGCCATGCAGGCCTACTCTGAATCCCTGATGACCCCCGCCGCCAAGGGCACGGTGCTGCAAGAAGCAAGGCTGTAGGTGGGTACCAGGTAACGCCGCCCCTCCCCCCACCCTCCCCTAGCGAGTAGAAAAAACCCGGACCGCCCGGAACACACGTGCTTCTGCAGCCTGAGCGTCCCCGGACCGTCGACAGACGGACCGAAGACGGAGATACGCTTGTTTGTGCCTTTGGTTCCCAGGACAGCGTCTTCGCCCCCGGGACGCCCGGGGTCCTGGGGGCTGGTGTCGGACCTGCAAGGCTGTAGGGTCGCCGGGCAGAGCAGGCCAGCTGCCGCTCCCAGCTCTGGGGATGTTTGCTAATCGGGCAGCTCCTTCCAGACCTCCTGGTGTAGAATCCAGAAGGGGCCCAGGGGCCTCCATTTCCACGGACCCCTGGGGGGGGCTGAGTGAGAGGGGTCCGCATGAGACCGGGGGCCTCACCTGAGTGCCGGCGCATGGCCAGGACTCAGCCTGAGGGAGGACCGGTGGACTGAGCGAAATAGTCACATATGCACACAGAAATGAAGACGCAGCCACGAGAGGTCGCCCAGTTACATCTGAATCTCCGGTCAACGGTGGTGGTTTTTAGGACAAGTGTGTCCCGCGTGGTTGACGAGATGCGCTCGCCCCGAGAGCCTGCTCCGTAGCGTGAACCTGAACATGAAACCGAGCTGGGCAACCCGGTTTCACCTGGCCCCCTGGCGGGGGAGCGGCAGCCTGCGCTGCGGGAGCCCTCTTCCTGGGCCACGGGCCACCGGGTCTGAGGTCTCAGGAGGGCGGAGCATGGAGCAGGGGCCAGGCGACACCCTGGTCCTCGGGGCCCGCTGGCGGCCTCCAGGGCACTGGTCTGCCAGGGCTGGAGGAAGAAATGAGACAGAAAATGCCAAGTGGTGGGCGTGGGGCATTTGTGTGGGCAGGAGCTGCGGGTCGTGCAAGGGGCTGGGGAGCAAGGGGAACAGGGGGGATGGCGGGGGACGCCTGTGCCCTCCCACCCCCCTGCTGGGGGCTCCTCTTGCAATCTGGGAGTGAGAGGGCGGGGCCCAGCCACATCCCAGCCGGAGACACAACACGCCCCCCTTCCTCCCTCTCCCGAGGAGTCCTCTGGGACACCTTGTGTGGGCAGTGTGGCTGCAGTGGCACCCCCGACCCCTTCCCACCTGCTACAATTCCCACTTGCAGAAACTTGCTTACAGTTCTTGGGGCGCAGGGGCAGGGGCATCAGGCTGAGGTGAGGGGCTGCTGACTTGACCGCAGGTGGAGCTGGGGGCCAGGAGGCCAGAGCCTCACGCTGCACCCCCCTGGACAGAGCCCGGTTGTCTGCCAGCCCCTCCCTTCCCAAGTGAAAACTCTACCGGGGTCTCCTCTTTCTTCGGCCGGCAGAACCCCATTTTCAAGTTCCTGGGGAAGGTTTGGGCTTGCAGAGATTTCACTGCCCTGCCTTCTGGAGGGTGGCTCAGCCTCCCTGCAGATGGTGCCCGGTCCCCCCAGTCACGTGTGCTTGGGGGCTTTGGTTTGGGGGGACAGGCACCTGGGAGTGGCCAGTGCTTTGGGGGACCTGTAGTCTCTGCAGGGCGGCTTTGAGTACTGGCTGGTCAGGTCGCTGGGGAGGCCCCGCCCCCGGGCGTGGGGGTGGTCTGCCCGGCTTCCGTGCCTGGGACAAGCCAGGAGGTGCACCTGCACCAGCCCAGTGGGGCCGTTTCACGTGAATGAGAGGACAGCTGGTCTGGGTGGACGCAGCGGCTCCGGGCGGGGGGGTGGCTGGGGGCAGACAGTGCAGCCCGGCCTGCCTGCGGCCCCTCCGGCTCGGGCCAGCCCTCGGCGCAGGCCCCTGCCCCCTGCTCGCCGGCCCCCTCGCCTCCGTCCCGTTCCCAGCCCTGGTCCCCACCCCCCAACACAAGCGGAAGGGGGCAAGCGGAGGGGCCGCCGCAGGTCCCAGCTCCCTGAGGGTTTGCCAGTGGGCTGCTGGGGAGAACAGGGCCCCCTTTCTACTTCTGAGGGAGGCTTTCTCAAGTCCTGGCTCCTCGGGCCCACGGGACTGAGGGGCTGGCCACCCCCGGGTGTCCCGTGCTGCCTCTGGGGGGCGGCGTGCGCCACGCCCCCCCGCCCTGCCCGGGCTGGACGTGGCGCAGTCAGGGAAGCCGGGGTGCGTCCCAGAGGCAGGGGGCCGGGAGTCCTGACCCCCCTCTGTCCTGCCCACGGCGGGGGCGGGGGCAGGGTGGGGTGGGGTGGGTGCGGGGGCCCTTGTGAGGAGGCACCAGGGAGGGGCATTTAGGGGTTTCCTTCCAGCACAGCCGCTGGGCCCAGAGGCCTCTGCGTTCTTCCAGGGAAGGAGGGCCGTGGGCTTAGGGCATGAGGAGTTGTCCCCAATCCTTATCTTTATTTTTTTTTAAGTCGAGAAAGACATGTTTTTAAATGGAAACTAGGCAAACTGCAGCCCCCGAGTCCCCCTCACCTGACTCGGCAGCACTGCCGACACTTCTAACGGTGACGGGAAGGCTCGTCTTGTGTCCCGTGCTAGCCTGTCTCAGTGGTGTCGCCGCACGGGTGTCACCCTGCGGCTGGCCTCCCCCGCCGCAGTGTCCCGTCTGGGACAGCCGTCTGGGCCGGGGACCATCTTGTGGCTGTTTTAGAAACGCTTCCTCCCGCTGAGGGCACGCAGGGGGTCCCGGCCGCGCTGCGTTGGCGGTATTGCGCCCAAGCCTGCGCCTGGCGCTGCCCCTCTCGTGGGATCAGGCAGGTCCCTTTGGCCCCAGTCTCCCCGTCTCTGACATAAGATGAAGGCAGGGGGAGATGGTGCTGGTGAGAGGCAGACCCCACAGGGCGGCCTCCAGAGCCCCTCCGGAGCCGCCCTGCGGGGTCTGGAGGTCACTCTGGCTCGTCTTGCCTCGCGCCGGACAGGCGCGGAGAGCCCGGGGCTTTCCGGAGGCCGCGGGGGCAGGGAGCAGCGTGGGGCTGGGGTCGGGGAGGCCCAGCAGCATGGCGTGGTCACCCAGCGCCCCTTTCTCCACAGGGTCCGGAAGATGCCGAGATCCCGCCCAGCCCTGCTGCCCCGCCAAGCTGGCTCCCCAGCCCCTACACCCCGCTTCTTCAGGACCCCCCAGTGGGCAGCCCGCCTGCCCCACCGCCTGAGCCTCTGGGTTGCCTCACACGCGCGTCCGCACGCTGCACACGCCCCCGGCACGTGTAAGCACACGCGTGCGCAGGTGTACACACACACTCAGGGATGGAGATGCTGCCGAGGGGAATCAACGAAAGAGACTCACCAACGGGACTGTGTTCCGGAACCTTCTGTCCCAGGCACCCACAGGCCCGTGGGCCTTGGGTCCTCCCTCTGGGGTGAGCCTGTTCAGCCCTGGGACCCCCCCTCCCCAGCGGCCACGCCATCGGTCTGGAGACACTGCGGCCCCTGGCAGGGCGGGCCAGGCCGAAGGCCAGCCAGGAGCACAGGCTTCTCGTGCCAGAGCCAGTGGGCAGGGGCTGCAGGTTCAGGGCCCGGCCGGACCCAGAGCTTGGGCCTCTCTGCAGCCCCCCGGGCTGGGGCACAGCCCCTTCCTCGGGCCCCAGAAACCAGCGTGAGGGAGGGGACGCCCTGGTGGTCTCTCCAGCCCCTGCGGGACTCTGGGACCCCTTCCCTGCGGCCAAACTGACATCTGCCCGTCTGCTGAGCCGGCCACTCCCTGGCTGGGGTGGCGGGAGGCTCTGCCCGGAGCAGCCCCTGACCAGGGCCCCCCTCTCCGAAGTGCCGGGCCAGAGGCGGGGAGTTCTGGGCCCCGCCGGCCCGGAGGTCTGGTCCAGTGTGAGCGTCCGGTCTCCGGGGCAAGCCTCTGTCTCTTTTCTACTGGAAGTAACATGAGTTTTATCATCTTTTAAAAATAAGTCACTATGTAAGTAATAAACTTTTTTAAAAGCAAACAGTGGAGTCTGGGGCAGCCTCTTTGTTGGGGGGGCGGGTGGGGGGCAGCTTCCCGTGTCGGGCTCTCTGGAGTCAGTGGCCCCTTTCTGGAAGCGGCCGCGCGTCTCGCACGGGCTGGGCGGCTGACCGGCCTCTCGGTTTCACAGCGTCAGTGCAGCCTGGCTTCACACCGTCCGTCCGTGCTGCGTGATTGCGGCTCCAGTGCAGAAAGCGTGGGATCCGAGGCCACTGCAACCACCACTCAGGGATTTTGCCGCTGTGGCGCAGACCCCGCTGGGCCCTGTTTTCCGTGTGTTTCTATGCCAACTGAGGGGCCTGTGGGGTGTCCTTCTGGGCTCCTGCCTTCTTTTGTCACACAAATGGCAGAAAAGCACCGGTTAAGAGAGTGGGTGGGAGCCCGCGGGCCTGGGCTTGAATCTAAGCTCTGCCTCTTCCTGGTTCTGTGATTTCAGGCAAACTCGCCTGACCGCTCGGTGCCTCAGTTCCTCCGCCTGCAAAGGGGAGGTAACCGCACCCACCTCTTAGCGGGGTCCGGTGAGACTCGGGGAGCTCATGTGCGAGCACACTCAGGGACTTAGAGTGGGTGCACGGGAGAGGCCATACAAGCTTGCCACCATTATTCAGATCTCTGAGGATTACTCATCCTCGTCTTTTTCCATGCACGTTGGACACTGTTCGCCGGTCCCTGTCTTGGACATGGCCCCTGGCTCCTCCACCAGTCACCTGGTCCTGTGCGCCGGCTGCACGGCCTCCCAGGCACAGCCGCTCACACCCGCCCTCCCCACGGCATGGCGGCGGTCTCCCGTTTTCCCCCATTGCGCACACACGCCATTCTCTTCTTCCTTCCTCTGCTGCGCCACGCTAGGCACTGCGCCGGGAGTGGGGGCGTGTCGGGGACCTCGACGCGGTTGGACCAGTTTCTCTCAGGACTCGGGGTCACGTGGAGGTGGGGCACCATTTGCAACCCTGCGGCGGCGAGGGCCCCCTCTCCACCTCCTGACGCCGCTGCTGGCGTCGGCAGCGCGGACCGAAAAAGGGGCCGCAGACCAACCCGGACGAGCTCAGGGCAGGCCCGCACGCCAGGTCTCACAGACTCAGCGGCCTTGACAGTCAACTCCCAGGACGGTCTGCACACCAGCGCTGCCGGCCGAAAGCAGGTCACGGCAGGCAGGCACGTCCTGGGCAGGAACCTTCCCTGGCAAAGGTCAATCTTTACCCGCAGGGAGACTGCTGTGTTTTTGCATCTAAACATACCTTTGAGAAATGTCAGAGTGATCTTTTCTAGACACCGCCCCACCCTGCCCGGGCACGACCTCCCACCGCAGCGGTGTCTGGTGCGAAGGCCCTCCGTGTGCGCCGTGAACGTTAACGAACCACCCAGCGCCCACCCGCGGAACAGCAGGGTCTGTCTCCCCGTTTTCCTTTTACCCAACCCCAGACCGCCCCCCACCCCCCTCCTGTGCTTTCTCTGGCTCCCTTAACCTACCGCCCGAGGATTTCATATGCCCCCCTACATCTTCCCCTCTGGTTTTGATGTACAAAATAAGCTGTAAAACGGCCCTTCTCGGGGGCATTTTCTGGAGTCCCTGAGATGGCTCCTGGCAATGGTCAGTTCGGCTCAAACCGACCCAAACTTCTCTACACGTTGGCTCGCCTCTTGCACAGGCAGGACGGGCTCCCCCTGGTGGCCAGTCGACGCGTCTCCGCACCCTGAGCCGGGCGGGGCCCCTCCTCCGCAGGGCACGGCGGGTCGTTCAGGGGCCCGCAAAAGTATCTTCATTTGTTTAAAAAACACAAGACAGACCCCTAACTTTCATGCTGAAAAAACGTTTTTGGTTTTTTTTTAAGACTTATTTATTTTTAGAGAGGGAAGGGAGGGAGAAAGAGAGAGAGAGAGAAACATCAATGTGCGGTTGCTGGGGGTCGTGGCCTGCAACCCAGGCATGTGCCCTAACTGGGAATCGAACCTGGGATGCTTTGGCTCGCAGCCCGCGCTCAATCCACTGAGCTACTCCAGCCAGGGCTGAAAAGGTGTTTAAAAACTGAATGCATTCACCCTCACACCAGCGCTGCCGTGGAGGGTAACTTTAACACTGCTAAGGGAGGAGGTCGCCGTGCAGCCCTGCCCCGGGCTGGTGCCGGCTGCCAGGAAGCGAGCGGCGTCGCCGTGGGGACGTAGCGTCCCCTTGTGTACGTGTTCACGTGATGACGTAGCATAGCCAGCCACGATGACGTAGGCGATGCTGTGGTGACGTAGACGTCGCCAGCCCTAGTGGTTTAGCGGCCCCCTGGTGACTAGGTAGCTGTGGTGACGCAGCGTTGACGTGATGACGTGACATAGTCCAACACGCCGCATGCGTCGCGATGCTGATGATGTTCCCTTGCTGTGGTGACGTAAGCCGCCCCAGAATACGGAGAGGCCTTGACAAATCGGGCGTGACGATGATGGAAGAGGCGCTGCGGTGACGTCAGAGAACTGTGATTACTTGAAGGGGCGCTGTGATGACGCCACAGACCCCGGGCAGGTCCTCGGGCGCTGGGTTTGGGCGCAGAACCTCCTGGGATGTGGGCTCGCGGCTCCCAAATTCGCCGGCGCCCGCCCCTCTGCCCTGCATGACAACTCCGCGACTGAAGTTCACGTGGGGACGTCTTCATCCTAAATTCAGATAGTTACGGGGGTAAACTTTCCCACTCAGTGTCCGTCCTCGTGGATGTTTTAGATCAAACACTTCGTGGGCCCAGAGCGGTCTAAATTTGAGAGTGTATGCCGTTGAAACACGATGCAGACTCTTGCAGCCAGAAATCGTAGCTTTCCCCCTTGAGTGTGTATTTCCTTCTTCCTTCCCCCTAGAACTTTAACTAAATGTTATATAATGTATGCCTTCAAGTCTCATTAATCCTTCAGTGACTTCTCTGCAACAGAGACGTCTGTACAGACTGAAACGGACATTTAATTGTCTTTCTTGTGACCATAAAGGGTTGTTGGGTTTTTTTTTTTTTTTTTTTTTGATCCGTATTGTCATTCAACTGTAGGCATCCCACCGTTCAGAACAATACCGGTGCATTCCACATTTTGTTCTGTGTTGGGAAAAGAAGCAAACGTCACTGGAATGCATCTTCCTTTCACACGCGTCTTAAAACTGGCCAGGCGGACGTGCTGTGTGCGCCCGGGTCTAGGAGCTTTAACGCACGTGCAGAAACAAGCAGTCCACCGCAGTCCGGGTCCGGAACCGTCTCGCCGCCCCCTCTTCCTTCTGTTTCACTTCTCTAGGAAAAGCCCCCAGGAAGACCCAACCCTCGGCACCCAGATAGCTTCGCCTTCCCCAGAGCGTCACAGAGATGCAGTCATACAGTGCACGGCCTCTGAGACTGGCGTCCGTCACCCGCCATGATGACTTGAGATTCATCCGTGTTGTCACAGACTATCAACACTTGGTTTCTCTTTATCGCTGAGTAGAATTCCACCGTGTGCCTGTGCCCCAGGTTTTCAGCTCTTCACAAGCTGGAGTTTAAAATGTTTCCAGTGTTGGCTCATTACAAAAAAAAATAAAGCTGGTTTAAACATGACCGTACTGGTTTTGGTGGAAACATAGAGTTTCCTTTGTCTTAAGTAAAACCCCGGGAACAGGATGGCCGAGAACAGGATGGCCAGGTCTGGGGGGGGAGAGGGGTGGGACTCGGGGCCCAGCCTCCCCAGGCTCTGCCAGACAACCCTCCCTGCAGCGGAGCCGGTCCGGCTCCCGCCCGCGGGGTCTGATTGCTCAGCTGTGCCACGTGCTCGCCGGCACCTCGGTGTTCTGTGCTTAAAACTTGTAGTCACTTGTTGCATCCCGTGGCAGTTTTATTTGCATGGAAACATATCTCGTAATGAGATGAATGAGTCTTCCTCTCCTCGCCAACCAGTTCAGGTTCCTGTGCACGAGCGTTACTCGTGGCCGGGAGGAGACTGATCTTGTCACGCATTTCCTTCTTATCTCTGTAGATGGCAGATCCAGGAGGCTTGTTTACCTGGCTAAGTAGCTTGGAGTCTAAGCGGCATCCCTGATGACGGTGTCACTCACTTCTCATTGTACTCCTGAGTAATGAGCAAAAATCTGATAGCCGTCTGTCATCAAGAAGCATGTTTACTGCTCCGTCAGCTGATGAGCCTGTCTGACCTTTGTTCCCATTTGTACAGAAAGCAACAAAGCGGAAACCACCGACGCAGTTGCGAAAGGATTACCCAATCTTTAGACCAGCTCTCAACACCAGTATCCGGGGGTCCAGAGAACCGGGGGATCCCACGCCTGGCTGCTGTGGGGTGGGGGCTCCCGCAGGGGCTGGGGGCGTCCCCTGGGCCTGCTTGGGGGTCACCTACAAGCCCGAGGCTCACGGGAAGTCCAGGCTACAGGATGATTTCCTCGAAACTCCTGTGGTCTCTCCCCTTGGCCAGCTGAGCCCAGTGTCTCCAGGTTCAGTTGGGCGACCCTGGGGAGGGGCTGGGGGACGTCTCTGGGTCCGAGCTTCGTCACAGACACTTTGAACTTGTGCTGGCAGCCCAACCTGCTCATGAAAGAGAAAAGGACGCTCTCCATAGAGCGTCCCGCTGTGTGTGTGCGTGTGTGAACACACGCGTGTGTCCCCAGGAGAGGCAGGCCTGCCCTGCACAGGTCTCATTGTGGGAACCTCGCTTCGGAGCATCTTTCAGGCTTAAACGGATTTGTGTTTCGGAGCCGCCTTGGCTCCTACGCCCGGCCCGCAGCGCCCTGGGCCTTGGAGAGGTAAAGGCCGGCCGTCTGACCTGGCGCTCGGGCTGCCGGGCCCGGAGGGGCTCTGCGCCCGCCCGGCCCAGCACGGCCCTGCCCGGAAGGCTTCTCCGGAGTGCCTTTGACCCTGAATCTTCTCCCCGTGTCTTCACTCCACACCCCAGCCTCCCACGTACTGTGAGACTCAGCTAACTTCGTGTTTGTCTTTCACTTGACTCGCTTTTTTTACTTAAAAGAATTTTCTTAGCCCAGAC